AGGGGGTAAGTTTCTAAAGAAACTGTGGTGCTGCGTCGGTGGGGAGTATAACAAGATAATTCGGTTTTATCAACTGGGTTGATAATGTAAGTTGGCCACCGTAAAGAGATTCGAAAGCTGACGTTTCGAGCGTTAGCCCTTCCCTCCGACGAAGAGCTAATGCTCGAAACGTCAGCTTTCGAATCTCTTTACGGTGGCCAATTTACATTATCAACCCAGTTGATAAAACCAAATTAAAAACGGCAACACGCAGGTTAACAACACAAACTCCGGATTTTTTATAGTTAAGCTGACGTATGTGCCGTTGCCATGACAACATGAATAAATATAAACAGGCTTTTAAAATCGGTTTTGTTTGTTTACAGAAAATCTAGTCATTAGATTCCCTTTCTCATTTGCATGTAGCAAGCTTGTAACGATGCTCACAAGGTAACACTATTTTACTAATAGTTTAACAGAGAGATCTTTAATTATCCCTTGTTGAAGTTTAACTGGAATAAAGTGAACTTGGATTTATCGTTTGACAGACTTTCGAACCGTGGCTCCCGGCCTCCCGATCCTGACTTGCCTATAATTGTAAGATGTAAGAGAGTTTTAGTTTTCCAGTGAGCTTTTCTGTTTGAATCGCTTGTCCTTTAGCTTTGAGCTTGAGTTATGTCAAACTGCACAAAACATAAGCAATGAAAAATATTTTTGTTCAAGAAAAATTAATACTTTGGTTAACTTTTTATCTGGGTTAGCTTAAACCGGCTTTCAAACAACCCGGCCCGGACCATTTCTCGAAGGTCCCGAAAAGTTTTCGCAGCCAGAAAGCAGTAGCAAAATCTCAATCCTTATGATCACGGAGCTGTTTTATTCACATGTTCTCAATACGACACAGAGGTTCTCTTCATAGAGAAGTTTTAGGCGTATACACTCAGTCTCGGTTTTTAGATACAGATTAACTAAAAATGGCTTATATAACGAGCCCGAAAAGTTTCCGGGCCTTTCGAGAAACGGGCCGCAGCTGCAGGTCATTATAAAGTACCCAGTTGGGAAACTGGAGTTATCAAAGCAAAGGGAATCAAGCCAATTTTCGCACCAATTTGTTGTGCGGCTTGGACACAACTATCACAAGAGCCGTTCCAACTAAAAAGAAAAAAAAACTTCAATGCAGGGTGGTAGAAGAACTTGTGTATTAACTTCTCATAAATTAAGGCCCCGTCCACACTAGAACTACGCTGAAGGAATTTGAAAACGGAGCTTTGTTACGATAATCATCGTATTCCCCTGCTCGAGTTTTATCAAACACAAATGCCAAATGACCGCTGATTGTTGCGTTTTCAAATTTCTCCGGCGTAGTGTGGTCGGAAAACATTTGATACGTCTTCAGAGTGAAACCTCGGTTTTAAAATTCCTCCGCCATAGTGTGGAGGGGACCTACTGTGAGCTGACAAGCAAATTAAAGGGTAGTCAAGCCAATGGCCACATACAGAGAAAGATTGGTGACACCACAACACATTTAATAGCACTTTTATTATAGAATCTTAACTATTTGTTTAAAAATCTAGATCTCTTAGTTTACCAGGGAGAAGTGGGAGAGTTCCCTGTTCTGTTACTGAATTATCAAACCAATATCACCACTCAATCGATAGATTTTAGGAATACTATAAATAACTACCGAACTATCAATGTTATCTGAAATGCTAACTAAACTGAGGAACTTTGGCAACACAAAATTTCTTACACCTACTGCGCAAAGCCTAACTAGGCAAATCGATATTCGACCACGCTCTTACAAAGTCTACCTCAATCTAACCTCGGGTTTTCACCTGATTAAGATCGACCAACTTAGAAAAAGATTCAATTTGGGATGAAGTGAGCGAACGATCCCAAAGCGTCAAGTTTCTTCAGAAAACCAGAAAAAACTACCTTATTTCACTTTTGCAACCACACTCCTCGAGTAACTATTCTAACTAAATAGGGGGTCGAGTCAAAGTATTTACTAAACTTCGCCATCGTTGACGTTAACTTTCATAAAAGCAATCCTAGGACCACACCAAAATGTTCCATTGTTTTTCCCACGTGGAGCTAAAATCTTCACTACACAATGGAAGAAAACTTCAATCCCTCTTGTACGAGAGCAAATTCCTGCTGAAGAGCCAGCATGGAAGGCACGATTACGTTTCTTAGCTCATGTGACAATCACTGCACAGCTTTTTGCCACTAAGTGATCTCCTCCACACTTTTGGAACTCGCCGATCTAAAACAACTAAATCGTTAAACTCAATGCTTCGTCTACAAAACCAATCTCTACTTATGCACGCGTTTTTCTTTTATTGCATAATAAATATGAAAAGCTTTTCCTCTAAAAAATCTTTTGGGCATCCTCTAATGGATTCTGATGTTTTAGACACAAAACAACTCTTAGTTTGTCGCTATAGATAACATCTTCTTGGTTTTTACTCATAAATTCTTGTATAAAACGCAACCTTCTCATGATCATCTCTTATTGGTACTGTGTCCATAAATATTCTCATATTTAGTCAAAAGGTTAGTCAGTACTGCTTTGCTCTTCGCTAAGGGCATTGTCATTCACGGACTGCAGAGTCTTCTTACGTTAATCTGTATTTAGGCAGCTATTGCATAGCATCCTTACTGCGTGACCAACTTGATTTCTTTCCATTCCACAACAATAGGCCTGCCACGCAGCATTACTCTTTTTGTTAACTAAGTTTTACAAAACAAACGTTCGCCATTTTATGTTACTGCGTCGAGGTTTGTTGTGCATAAGGGAGGATCAATGTGCCATTTTACTCGCAGGGAAAGAATACTCTTTGTGCATAAGTAATTTGACTTCGACATAACGGGCACTCCTTGCACATGGCTGAACACTCTACACAACAAACCACGTGACCACATGGGCAAAAAGCAGTGGCGACCTCGCTATCCATGCAGATCTGACAGACTCGGGCGTCCTGAAGGTGTCGTACCATAACCTTCAGTTGTTCTGGGGACATATTTTCCATGCATTCTCTCTCAGCCAAAGTTCTCCGACCTTGACCCCTTGACGGTCCGGCTTCGTCGATCCTCTTTGTGCTATAACACTTGCGTTGGGAGAGCGGGGACTGGACTGGACGGTACTCCACTGACGCACCGACTGAACGAAAACTTGCCGAGGTGGAGCTTGTCATGTCAATCATCCGACACGAGTTCAGCTCTCCCCAAGCGTGGCTGTACGCCTGGCGTCGCGTGCGCTGTACGTCAAACAGGAAAATCCTGCCAAACTCGTTACGAGGCACAAACACGGAAAACAGCCGACCAGCGAAAGTCCTCGTACACTGATCGATAACGGATCGTTTTACGGTGTTGCACTGGAAAAATGTGTGGAACTCCGTAAAAGTTCGGAACAAGGCAACAGCATCGCTTTCACACTTCATCTTATAAGTGTCTCGTTGAGCTTGCGGCCCAGTTCCCCCGTGGACAACAGTAAACGAGCGGTTATTGTAGGAGACTGTAGACACATCTTCAAAGGACACCCTGAAAGACAAGTCAAACGGCACGTAAGGGCAAATGTCAGTATTATACACCTGCTTCACTAATAAACTGAAAACCATAGCTCTTTCTCTTTTTTGCATGTTAATGAGGTCGTAAAAAGGATTTATTTTCATGTCAAATTAACAAATTGACGTCTACTCAGTTTTTCACGCTTGCCCTGTTATTGACAATGAATTTCGCCATAACATCGTCAAAGTAGGCTGCGGATCCAAAGGACAGGACAGACGCATGAAAAACTGACGTCAGTTTGTTTTTGTAATAACAAATTTTCAAATTGTCTGCTCTCAATCGTTGAAGCATCGCATCAATTATAAATTCCTGTGTCTGTCCGCTTATTGGCAATAAAAATTAGCCAACGAGCCCGCGAGAATTTCTGCAGTTATCGTAAAACATCAATTCGCTGACAGGTATACACCTTGTCTATGAAATATGGTCACAAGCCAGACGCCATAATTCCTAAGCTGATTTATTTTTGAGGTGAGAACCGATTACTTTTAGCGTGGCAGTAAGTCTCTTCTACCACAAACAACCAAAGCGAGTGTCTATTCTAGCAAAGTGAGTTTTCATACTACTTGACATTTTCAAGGTTTTTGTAATTCCGTTACACGAACCCGGCTACAGATTGCAACTCTTGTGAAGGTGGACAGAATCCACCGAAAATTCAGAAAGGAAAATCAGATCGGATTACTAAAACCTTTACTTTAATATTTAGAAAATATTTCCAAGAAAGTACCGCAAAAACACAACAAAAAGCAGGTTTGGGGTGCTCTAGAGACTGAACACCATTTTTATGGGTTTAAACTTTTATATTGGACGGAATTTTACATGTAAACATCAACAAATAACCTGGATGGTTTTTTCAAAGAAATCAGTTCACTGAGTGTGTTTGTTGCTACGTATCTTTTTCTTTCAATTGCTCGAATATTTATATTGTAGCCAAGGGCCTGAAAATGTGTTATATTTTGAAAGTATTTTTAACTTTAGTGACTGAAACGAAGCATCATTATTTAGAGATTTTCTTCATTATATAAAAAACAAGAAATCCAGAAGAAGCTTCAACTTCACTGGGATCGAAAATTACAGGTAAATCGACAGCCCTCCAATAAAAATCAGCGACGTAAATCCACTGCTGAGTTGCTTTGCACAAAAACTTGCGATTCTAGGACTATTATGAGTCACAGCAAGCAGCTAGGCACACTTTTAACTGTTGCCAAATTGACTTTACAGCCATTTGATTCACGATGTTGCCGCAAAGAAGGACGATTTTGCCGTCCGACTAGAAAAAGATATTTGAACTGATTGCAGAGTCAGTTTGTACTACTTGAAGGGTTACAATGATTTCGCTTTCACTTGCACCCCTCCTCCCCAATTCCATCAATTCCAGCAAACATTCAATACCCACCACGTTTTCAGGAGGGGAAAAGCAATCTACTTGTTTCTAATATTTCGATTTCCATTTTGAATGAGTGACTCTATTTGATGGGTTAACACAAAATCGGCAAGCTTATGCAGCATGAATTATAAATACTGTACGTAATTACATGTGGAGATAAAACAGGAACTTGTAATGATGGAGGAAGTTTTCTTTAGCGTAATTTGCGCTTTACTTCAGTACCACTTTGGAAGACACTTTTTAATTGGTTGTCCCTAAGTCCGCCAGCTTGTGGGGTTAGCTTTTATAGCCTGAATAACAACGGGAATTGTAATAAAATACGAGTGAAGCAATACTCCATCTGTCGCAGTGTTTGGAAATAACACTATTACAAAGGCAAACAACTCGGAATATGTGACAACACGAAGCCTCTAGACCGGAAAAAAAAGAACAGATAGAAAAGATAGAAAATGAAAGTTCCTCGGGTAAAACGTTACAGCAAAGCGATTGAAACGAATCGAATTATCAGCTCTTACTCGTCTTTCTCTTTCTTTACTGTAAGAAGGAAATTTAGTACTGGAAATGTAATCTGCAGTCCTTCGGTTTGCAATATTTTCATTTGCCTATTTATAGACATAGTTACCACTATCAACATAACGTCATATTTGTTTGCTTGAAGTCCAACTTGGTTATTTAATATCTGTCATCCCACCATTCTACTCTGTTGAGGAGGCTTTTCAATTGTGTTGACGTAAAATTCTGTCATGATTTCTACTTAAATGCACCGCCGCATAGAAGACAGAAATACATTTAACGAACAGAAATAATTTCAAGATCGCCCAGTCTACGACTTCTGCCACCTTTTACAATTGTTTCACTCAGTCAGCCTGTTGAATGCAGTTATTGCTTTCCCAGAAAAAAGGAGGGAAATTCTCGCTGCCAAAAAGTGGTATAACCGTATTTTGCGGTTTTGACAGATAGAATTAATTATTCAAGGTAAATAATATCTCAGTACTATTACAGACAGTTGGCAGGACGCGAATAAAGTCTCATCTATATTCTGCACGTATTTTTTACTTGGAGTTTGAAATTATATCGGCAGCAAAGCTGAACTAATTTTTTTCAACATACATGTGACTTTAACTGAGGCGGGAAGAAACAATAAAAAGACTGATACACAAGTAGAACAAAATTTACCTTCACTTTAAAAGTTCTGGTATAAGATACCGACACGCTTAATGCGGCAGGTTCCTATAGAATTTTTAAAACCCACTAAAAAATTTAGCAAGTACTGATTTCAACAAAAAGGCTTAAGCGCTTGAATTTGATGACATTAAAATTTTGTACATGATAATTATTCGCACTCACTTTGAAAGAAAATGAGAATTACACATGATAGACAGTTAAGGGCTAGATTAAGACTGTTGTAAACTATGCGGTTATTCTGCCTGCACGATTTGTGGCAGATTCCCGCAATATTGAAAATAAATCGCCGTAAGAATGAATTTTCGAAACAGTGTCTCAACCATTTTTCAGATCAACATTTAATGCCGAGATAGGTTTCATGACATGTTTTTTTTTACTGGCAATCTCGTCAAACGCGCAACCAAACAAAGCAAAAGCAAAAGCTTACCTTTTTTCCAGGACTTTTCTTGTGACATCTTTTCCTTGTTTCAAGTCGAATTCGTGGTTAATGCTGAACACGCGTATGCCATCATTACCGACATAAATGTCCACCCTTTTAAGCGTTTTATCGTCGCTCAATCTGCCATGAAAAAGTTCTATTCCATAGCCCTGAATACTGCACACAATGTGTAAAAATTCTACTTTCGACTCGCAGACAGGAACACCAACTAGCTTGCTGTGTTCGATCGCTGCATCCTTTTGAAGGTCTGAGGTTTTGGCGTACACATTATAAACAGACATGGGAATGTAAGATGAATATTTTGGCACCCGCTCTTGACTAAAATCGCCGCACTCTATATGAGCAACCAGAGCGCATAGTCGAGCGATGGTTTTCGTTTGCGCAGACTACAATTCTAGCTTCCCTTCGCTTATAAAGCTCTTTAAAGTCAGATAATACTGGTGCCTGAAAGGAAAAAAAAAAAATAAACAGAGAGATGTACACATGAAACTGAAACGTCTGTTAAATAAAATAAAGACTATGACAAACACTATCCGCGTGAACTGTGGATATTTCCGAGCGGCTCACTCGGCAGGTACGATTGACAAAACGCAAAACATACATCAAAATTTCACCTGTTTCACTTACCGTGTAATTTCTTGCTGAAGTTCTTGTGGCTTGACGAAGAATTTGACCAAGAAATACAGTCGATACGGCGGCTTTCCAGTGAGCTGCGACGACATAGAATTTCTCAAATTCAACCAAAATTTGGCTCGTTTCGCGCCACCGAATTTCAAGCCAAAATAATCTTTCTCGACTAGCTTTAGCTTTTCGCAAACCTGCAAGGGTTGAAGAACCATAAAATAAGTACCAAACAATGCTACGAAAGCAAGTAATTCGAAAGTGAACCAAGTTGACTTAAAATTCATCAGCATACAGGTGTCTTGGGAATATTCATTGCATGTTGAGAATCGCCAACTTGTAATTCCTCACCTTGTCCAAACACTCTTGCCCGACGGCATTCTTCGGGAGGAAAATTTCATGAATTATGCCGTTTGGCTCCGAAATAAAACACCACATCCTCTGCTCTAGATTGTAAGTTGTTTTAAAATCACTATAATGACTGTTTCAGCCGCTATGGCTCGTCTTTTCCTGGAGTTTTTATCTCCTCCATTCACCGGATATTCACGCACAAAGAAAAGCGACAGGCGAACAGCTGAACGCCACAGCTTTGTACTTATTTTGGTCGCGAGCCAATCAGAAACTTCGAACGACACAAGCCGTCTTATTTGCATAAATTAGGGAATAGATTACATATTAAATATTGATATCGCGTTGTCATTGGATACATCATCCCTTGGATCTTTGGTCACTTCTCTGGAAAAAAAAGAGGAAATTTTTCACGTGGAGGACGATTTTTTATTTATTACTAATAAACCGGCTGTTCTGTTCTAGAGACCTATAATTTATTTCTATCGTAAAAGCTGCATTATCCCCACTTCCGTTTGAATAGGGTACAATTTAACATTCGACCAGGAGTTTTTTATATTATTATTTCCTTCATTAGATATCCCAACAACGGCCAATGCGTTTTATTTTGCTTTTCACCTGTTGATTCCTCAAGACGGTGCGTACTGTTATTGCGACTTGTTTTCCGTTTTGCGATAAGCGAGCGCTATTTTCGGAAAATGTCGACAACAAGCCGACCAATGTCCGAGTCCTTCTGTCCAGTCACAAATAGGATGATCATCCGAACGTTGCCATGCCAGCCTGTTGCTTGATAAACTCAAAAACGGAGAAATCTCAGACTTGCCTTTCCGGGTGGGAATATTCTTGGTGAACAATTCTGCTTACGTTTGAAATTTGAATAATTCTTCGAAGAACCAGCACGTATTAAATATTCATACCATGTCTCCCGGCCATATCTTCTTCAGTAACGTTCAAAGGAAATAATTTTCATGGCTGTGGAGATCACTGCCTTGCAAGTCAAATTTTCACTCGCCAACGGATTCTCTAAGAAACATTTACCAACCGTTTCATAGTTGAGCATTGCTGAAACGATAATATTTTGAACATGATGATGTTCTGATTTGTTTTGATAATTTAAAAGATCCTGAACCTTCTTTGAATCTACGTTTTAAATTCATGTTTTATAAAATAATTATAGCATCTTAGACAGTTTGTAAGAGAGCTCATTTAATAATTCTATGTACCTTCGAGTTAAGAGTAAATAATTAACGAGAATACAACACAGGATTTTATTGAAAATGAAAAGACATAATTAAAAAAGTCATCGTCTGGTTCTGGCTTAATTCAGCTGGTTGCATAGGTAATATTAAACATATCTTGGATTTCGTAAAATTGAAAAGTAAATGTACAAAGCATGCTTGCAAGAGGGTAACTTATTTGCTGCCAACAAACAATACAGCTAAAATAACAGTTGTAAGCGGTTTTCAAGCCACGTAATTCATCTAGTTTTGCAATTTTTAAATCTCCTTGTCTTTGATGACTGAACAATAACATCGACCACCAAGATAGAATTTTCAAGCAAAGATCTTTGAAAGGCCGTGCGACTTTCGCGAAGGCGTCATTTGTCTGCCACTACAAAAACTTCTTTGTCTCCCAGTTCCTCATTAAAAATAACCCTGCTGATTCCAAAGAATTCAATCACAAACGCTGCATGGGAATGAAAAATTGTCTTTATTTTCGAACCAAGCATTACAGACCACCTTAAAGATATCAAGACAATACTCGACTAGCTTGTGCAGCACATGGTCACATACATACTTTATTATGCAAGCAATGATGCTGTGTCATTGATCAAGAGACTTGCCTATCAGGAATCAGGAGAGAAAATTCAGGAAAAGGGGTGGTAGTATTTTGCAGTTCATTTTCTTTGCAACAGTCTCTTGGTTGACCTAAATGGGTCCTGAGTGTTTTCAAGATATACTTTTCTAAATTATATCTTTTTGAGTAACATGGTTTCATATCATCCTCGGAGACCCAGGGGCAGTTAGTTGCGGGGGAAGAAAGTAAATCGGGCAAAAATTGAAGCGTCCAAAGTTTACAAGTAAGGCGAGAAAAACTTTCCCGCCTTACTTGAAACCTTCGACGCTTCAATTTTTGCTCGATTTATTTCCTCCCTAACTGCCCCTGGGTCTCCAAGGATGGTTTCATATTTTTTTCTGCACCTTCTATATGCACCTATAGCAGCTTCAAAGTGATGTAGTAATTTTGAATTGTGTTTATACATCTTGCTAATTAGTTTTTGTTCGCTTTTGCATTATTCACTTGTAAATCTATCAGATACCAGTGAAGCACAGGTTAAAATCTTGTGAGATCAGTAAACTAGCTAGATGGTTGGACACAAAGCTGTTTATTAAGTTGAAGGAACCACCGTAGCGAGATAGTGACGGTGAGGTTTTGAGCGTTAGCCCTTCGTCAGGGCGCATTGGAAATTAGTCGTGAGCGCCTTTGGATGGGTTGGAGTTACGAATGTGAAATATTCATTTATAAAAATGGCTGAAGTTTGTTTCCTTTTCTTAGAAGTCTTTAGGTTCTTCATAAATTTTGCGCCTTTTCTATGAAGTTCTTTAATAACATAGTTGCCGCCAGGCGTGATCCGCGCAGGAGTCCTCGCATTCTTTCCAGTTTTCCAGAGTCCATTCCGATTTCAGATTTTAAGATGGCAACTCACCCGCAATGCCGTCTGGGTAAGGAGAAAGCAAACATGGCGTACAGAGACGAGATTGATGATGCATTTGATGCTGCTGTTTTCCTGGAGGAAAGGTACTCTTCCACCTTTACGATGCTTTTTAATTAAAACAGAGATGAGCAGTATTTTTTTTGTTTCAGATGTTATGAGAGTGGTTATAAGGAAGGTTACAAGGATGGAAAATTGAAGGGTCTGCAAGAGGGACGTCACTTGGGTTTGATGAAAGGCTGTGAAGTTGGTGGCGAGGTTAGTTGCTACTGAACTTGCTTTCAGTTCGGGTTTTGGACAAGGCTAATGAAATACGTGGGTGCTCATTAAGAGTAAATTCATAGACATAGAAGAAGAAAGGAAAAGTGGAATTATTTTTTAACCATGTTTCGTTTATTTGAAATATTAATTTGTTTCGTTTCTTCCAGTGCCATGCCTGTAAACTAGCTAAGCTTAGTGCTTGTATAGCTAAATGCATGACCACTATAAATAAGATTTACATTTTACATTGCATTTTTTTTCATCGTATCTAGTGAAAAATTCACGTATGCCTAAGTTCGTATCGCAAGCTCCTTGGGAGTTTGCTTACCAGTATACTGTTCCTCTCAGGTTGGATTTTATCTTGGATTTGTTTCAATGTGGCATGAGATTTTGCTGGAAAGTCCTGATGCAAAACAAAGGTATCACGTTGACTATTAATGACGTCTTCTGAATTCTGAATTAACTCGATAAATTATTATGAAAGTAACCAGTATGGTTACATGTATTATTATATTATTCTGTTGTAATATAATAATACATGTATGTTATTCTATTTTGATCATATTTTACAACTTGTAAAGCGCCTAGATCATGCTTGGATAGGCACTATAAAAATACTATTTATTATTATTATTATTATTATTTTC